GAATTAGAGTGCCTTACTCCCTGAGGCTGTGACTTTATTCTCACACACTCTGTGCTGGAATAGTTCAGTGCCGCATTTTAGAAGCAGTGTCTCCCCTTCTGGCCTCAGCAACTCTAACAGACTGTGCTACGCAGACAGAAATGGCTAAAGGCCTACCAGAGATGGTCACAACTGTGTTTGGTATAAAACTTCTCCTGATGACCACTGCAAGCCTTCCTGCGTGAACAGCCTCATAAGCATTAAGCCAATCTATACTTGATTCACCCCTCACTGTAGCCTCGGTACATGGCAGCACCAGTGCGCTCTGTTTACAGCAGTGTAGTACCAAGTGCATCAACGACTCCACTGTCTGCAGAACCTTGTCTTTCACAGGGAAGGTTTTGTGTTCGGCTGCCGAGTATTTGCCTTCTCTCCAGAATCCTGACGTTGTTGGGGAATAACATCTTCAAGAAGTGTTTTCTGAAAGTTTTGGCAATTGTTGACTCAGTCTCTGAGAGCCCCAGGCAACAAACATCAAGCATTAGACCTAGCCTCTTCACAATAACCTTTGTGGTGCTCCAGCTTTTGTGGGTTGCCACTCAACTACATGAGAAAGGAAGCAAAGCAGCATCAGACATCACCAGATTGGTTTGGACACAAGTCCACATTGCACAAGACAGATTACCGAGCCCCCTCTAGTGGCACAAGGACTGGAGAGGTTGGCTTGCGCCTCACAGAGCACTTGGCAGCTGCAACATGGCAATTAAGGGATGAGCTCAGAATAATCTCTAAGGGATGACCGTCACAACAACTAAAATACCAAAAGCACTTTAATGAGTTCCAGATTTTGTTCCCAGAAGGAATTTATACCGTGTCAGTACATTAGGCAGGTACACAACTTCCCCTGAACTACAGGCATGAGGAGAACTGACTATAATATACTAGGTATTTATAAAATTACTCTCAGTAACCAGTTTTCCACAGTATTAGAAATAAGGCGTGTTTTAGATGTGCAAGTGGCTGCTATATCCAGTCCTCAGATGCCATATTTGCCCTTCAGTTCTTCCACTTTTGCTATGTAAGCTTTCATTGCATCTTCTTTGGACATTCCTGAAGGACACAATACAGGAAGCAGTCAGATACTTTTTACTGATTAAGGCACCTTTTACAAGTAAGTGACAACTCCTTGCTATAGCACGTAGCAGCATGCTACCAGACAGCAAAGAAGGTGGTCACTTGCCTGCAAATCTAGTATTAACGTTTTAAACAACTGCATTCAGCAGTCATGAGAAAAACAGCATTTCAAAGCAAAGTTATATTTACACAGACAGCAACTAAACAGTGTTATTAGTTTTATTAACACCATTCACAATTATTACAGCAAAGCTATTCAATCACCTTAGACTGCATTTAGACTGGCTGGCTCCTTAGAACACTCGAAAAATCCTATTTTCATAGATTAGATCACTTGTTTAGCTCCTCATTTAGAGAAGAGAGCCCAGCTGCATCTTCCAGTTAGGAAAGCTTTAGAAGAAACCCAACAACTGGAGGGAGAACTCAGTCTCTGGGGTACTAGGCTGGGACAAGGAAAACAGATTTACATTTCTGCTGCTGCCACAGTTCTCCTTTGTGTAACATCTTGGGCCAGCTGGGCATTTTGCACCTTAATTCCCTTTCACATAGGCTACATTTTTCAGGATTACTTCTGCTTTGTAGAGGTAATCAAAAGTAAGAGTTTATTATCATGGCATTCTGAACTTCTAGAACTCTTGTCTTATAAGGCAACACCATTTTATTTCTTGCTGAACCACATATGCTTTTATGACTAGCTTGCCTGGGATTTTTATGTATTCATTTTTTATTTTTTAAGCAGACACTTACCTTTCAATGCATTCCAGGCATCCCACTTTGCTTTGCCTTTGAAGTCCAGCATACCAGGGCGGTCTGAGAGAGACAGGATAAGCAGCAGAATTAGTTTGTGTGGTCTGGGTGTAGGCAATACCTACTCCTTTACTGAAGGCTATTTAGCTCTTAACTACAATAAAATTTGGTGGTTCACCTCTGCAGCTCTTCCTTACTAACCTGTAGTTGGGAGGTCAACCCTGATGCTGAAGGGAACACATTGGAATGCTATCAGTGGCAACAGAGATATTCTCTACCCAGTTCCCTTAAGACAGCAGCATTTGAACAGAAGAGCGTGATTTGGCTTTATGGTATTTTCTAAAGAGACTGCTGTTGCATGACAGCTATCCGATTAACATCATCAGCTCTAAAGTAAAGGAGAAATGCCCTAGGGTCCATTACATGCAGAAATGATGAAATCAAAAGCTAGTAGCATACAGCTTAGAACTCATTACCATCAGGTTAATGGTATGTTTCTAATGTACAGCTCTTCATCTGTTCTGTCATCTAGGGGTATAAGCACGCAATTCTAACTCCCTTCATTACAGGCCACACTGTGGCCAAATGGAGAAGAAATGAATGAGATATGGACATGTATATGGTTATTCTTCACATAAAGTCCCCTGTGTGTTTTTACTTCTTCTCTGTCTCCTTAAAGACAATTCTTAGGATTAGCAAATGGAACTAGACAGTAGCCTGTACATTAGCCACAAAAAGACCCTTGCAGTGCCTACATGGCAATGGGACCTGCAGAGCTAGCTGGCAGCTCCACTTCTCTCCAACAAAATCCCTACTAGCTTACTCTTACACAGATTGCTATTCTAGCCAATTCCTGTTAGCTACTGCTTCACAAAAATGCAGCAACTTAACAAATGTTAATATAGCAACAGATCTATAGCACCACTTCACCTTGGCAAACATTAGTAACGCTAAGGTCCAGCCACACCAAATCAATCATATCTTAAACCCAAAGTCAGTTCTTTTCTTCCTCAACGCTGTCCATCTTGGGGAAAAAGAGACTGCAAGTGCCCATACTTGCCATTTCCTGGACACTTCACCGCCAACTCTGAATTCAGTCAACACCCAATAAACTTCACCAGCAACTGGGTCAGGAGGCCAGCGCTCCAAACAAATGACCTTTTTCCTTTCTAATTCTAGTCACTCAAGTGTTATACAAGGTCAATAGAGAAGGTCTTCATTCTAAATGCTATTCCTAGTCTGATCTACCAGTGACATAGCAACAGAAGTAGCAGGAGAGATTTTTGTATAGTGTACCTGCAGAGATATTTCTGCTACGGTCCTTCCAAGATGTGATATTTAACTGCAGCTCCTGTAGAAGTTTCCCCCATTACACACATCTGCATCATTTTCTTGTGTTTTGGCTTTCCAATACTATTTTTAGCAGCCAATCCGGTTTAAACAAGCTGCCCCCCCACTCAGTATTGCAATTTCCGCATGTATGGCTTGCCTTGCTGTTTAAGCCTGTTTAACTGAGAAGTGTTTGTATTAAAGCAGCTTCCCTTGACCTAGGCAGCTACTTACTGATAGAGGTCTCCAAAAATCCCAATCCCAATATTTGCACAAAGCTAACACAAAGGATTCTCAGGGTATTGCTATACGATTTAACCAAGTTCATCAAAAAACCACAAGTTGCACAAACCCTTATCAGGCCAGCTTACGCCTGCCCGCATAGAAATCCATGCCAAGTCGGTATTGAGCCATTTTTGCTAAACGGCGGGATTGCACAAAGCGCTCCAAAAATCCCAATCCCAATATTTGCACAAAGCTAACACAAAGGATTCTCAGGGTATTGCTATACGATTTAACCAAGTTCATCAAAAAACCACAAGTTGCACAAACCCTTATCAGGCCAGCTTACGCCTGCCCGCATAGAAATCCATGCCAAGTCGGTATTGAGCCATTTTTGCTAAACGGCGGGATTGCACAAAGCGAGGCACGCAACAGGGGAGAGGTTTCGCCTCCCAAAGCGCCTCCAGCTCAGCCT